GGACTCGTGACGACTGACACACAAAACCACCCCTGACTACTCCCTCCAGAACAGGGGGGTGGGGCCAAAGCCCTAAGGGGAGGGCGCATACCCAAGAGACGATTGTATGAAGAAAATATGGAGGAACAGTTACATTTTCGGTACTAAGTCATTTTCAGGGGATTGAAAGACTATTGCTGGATTTCATGATGCTGACCAGTGTTAGCTGATTAACCCACATAAATAGGCACTTAAAATAGAAGCAGGGAAGGAAGGAAAAGACTGGCTTCTGGACTTCCTCCCAGATTTCCACGCCCTACCCATCACCTGTAGTGACCAGTATAGGGACTCAGAATTAAACCAGCATAAGGCAGTGCTGCCTGTCACTGCTTGGTTATGTGGAAACTGGTTGTCTTCCAGATGTAGCTTGGGCAGATGTAGCAGGAAAATAAGAAAACCGACCATCTCAGTGAGCACCGGGCTGCTTCCCAACGGAGGGGTAGCTGTGCTTGTATTTTTATGGTTAGAAAGGCACAAAACTATCAACTTAACTAAAACATTCCTTTTCTCTCTTTTTTTTTTCTGAATATTATGGAGTTTTCCAATTTTCTCTTTTGGACTGTAGTCTTGTTTTGTTTTGTTTTACAAACACTTTACAGTGTAAAATATTTATTTTTTACTTTTTCTGGAGGATCTGTCTGAAAGATTATTCACGGGACAGGAAGAAGCGTAAGGACTATCCCTATCATCTTTGCTACAAGTCTTCACGACTGTAAGATTGTAAATACAGATTATTTATTAACTCTGTTCTACCTGGAATCTAGGTTTCATATGGAAAGTGTTTGAGAGCAGGTGGTTGAGATTTATCAGCAAATCCCTCACAGGAACGGCACAAGAAAATCAGAGCGAGCTGCTCCTCACTTTAGGCTTAGACTCAATGATTTGGGCTTCTTTATTTTCCCCCTTTGTTTTGTTTTTTTCAAGTGGAATTAGCTGGTTGTCCATTTGCAAGGGTTTTTAGTTTGCAAAGAAAGCCAGGAGGACTTTAATACTGTTTTCTTACCCCATCCCTTGTGCCTATTTCCAGGGAGACGAAAAGCATCTACACTTATTATTTTTTCCTTTTTCCAAAAGAAGAAAATGACAAAGGTGAAACTTATATACAAATATTACCTCATTTGTTGTGTGACTGAGTAAAGAATTTTGGGATCAAGCAGAAAGAGTTTAAGTGTCTAACAAACTTAAAGCTACTGTAGTACCTAAAAAAAAGTCAATGTTGTACATAGTATAAAAATTCTTCACAGAAAAAGTATTCCCAATAAGGAAATAGCATTGAAATGTTAAATACGTTTTCTGAAAGTTGTTTTTTTCTATCATCTTGTATACCATTGCTTTATTTTTATAAATTATTTTCTCATTGCCATTGGAATAGATATCTCAGATTGTGTAGATATGCTATTTAAATAATTTATCAGGAAATACTGCCTGTAGAGTTAGTATTTCTATTTTTATAAAATGTTTGCACACTGAATTGAAGAAATGTTCGTTTTTCTTTTTGTTTTGTTGATTTGTTTTTTGCCTGTTAATCCCCCCATTTTTACTATTTGCCAATTCTTTTCTAGGAATGTGCTTTTTTGTACACATTTTTATCCATTTTACATTCTAAAGCAGTGTAAGTTGTATATTACTGTTTCTTATGTACAAGGAACAACAATAAATCATATGGAAATTTATATTTATACTTACTGTATCTGTGTTTATTTGTTTTCTGGCTTTATGTTATGAGGTATGGGTAAATTCCATCCTTATACCACCATAGCATACCCACAAAAAAATTATAGTAAGTAACAGTGAACATATTCATAGTTCTTATACAATTTAGGGAAGATTTAGTTGCTTAGACTATGTATTTGCTGGATTTGTGGAATAAAAAAACAAAACAACAAATTAGCTTGTCATATTAAAAACATAGCAAAGAAAAAAGTACCCCTCCACCAGGAAGTGGGACCTAAAAGGGTACAATTTCAGATTTTACTGTCATTAAATGTCATCTGTTGAATCTTTTTCAAAGCCCAGTTCTGTTTCTAAAAACAATGAAAAAGGAAAACAGGAGTGAGGCACACACAGCTCTCCCAGCTACATTTTCTGACCAATGAATGAAGGCAGTGGGTGGGTAACACAACCACATATTGTGGGAAGGCTTCATAAATGTTAATGAAGGAGGAATCGTCCTTGAAAAGTTGGGTCAAACTCTATAGATATCACCTTTTGGAGAATGGATATACTTTTGGTCAAAAACAGATGACCAAATCACTAAAAAGTCCACAAATGGTAAATGCTAGAAAGGGTGTGGAGAAAAGGGAACCCTCCTACACTGTTGGTGGGAATGTAGTTTGGTGCAGCCATTATGGAAAATAGTATGGAGATTTCTCAAAAAACTAAAAATAGAATTACCATATGATGCAACAATCCCAGTCCTAAGCATATATCCAGAGGAAAATCTAATTTGAAAAGATATATGCCCCCCAATGTTCGTAGCAGCATTATTTACTATAGCCAAGACATGGAAGCAACCTAAATGTCCATCAACAGATGACTGGATAAAGTTGCAGTGTATGTATGTATATATATACACACACACACACACACACACACACACACACACACACACACACATATATATATATATATATATATATATATATATATACATATATATATATAATGGAATACTACTTGGCCATAAAAAAGAATAAAATCATGCCATTTGCAGCAACATGGATGGACCTGGAGATGGACATTCTAAGTGAAGTAAGCCAGAAAGAGAAAGAAAAATACCGAAACATCATACGATATCATTTACATGAGAAATCTTAAAAAATGACACAAATGAGCTTATTTACAAAACAGAAACAGACTCAGAAACAGAAAACTTACAGTTACCAGAGGGAAAGGGGGTGGGAAGGGATAAACTGGGAAATCAAGACTTGCAGATACTAACTACTATACATAAAATAGATAAACAACAAGTTTATACTGTATAGTATAGGGAACTATTTTCAATACCTTGTAGTAACCTATAATGAAAAAATAATATGAGAAGGAATGTATGTATGTATATGTATGACTGAAACATTATGCTGTACACCAGAAATTGATGCAATCTTATAAGCTTACTATATTTCAACTAAAAAAATTAAAGTATCAGATATTAAGCTCTGAAATAAAACATATAGGCAAAAAAAGAAAAGATGATCAAAAAGAAAGGTAGGATTTGGAAATCCTAAAAATATGTAAATGTATAAAATATCAAATTATTTTGTGAAAAGAAGGCCAAAGCCTTACATAAGCAGACTTTGAATTTCAGGTGGGCTAACCACAAATATTAAGAACAGGTAGAGTAAGAAATTTTGTGGAGGTTCAAGGTCTTGCTTTGAGGTCCATTAAACACAAAAAGGACTGGCTGAGTGAGATTGAAGCTTTTTCCCTTGTTGATTTTTCTCTCTCATTCTAGAAACATCTACCTAGGGTAGCATAATCATATATAAGTATAAATTGCCAAATCATTTTATGATACCCAGGTGAAGAATAAGGAACTAGAAGGTGTTGGTTATAGAATCTGGAAAAACTGATTTGAAAGAAATTCCTTGAAACATGACATCATTCATTCTCAGAGCAGCTCAATACGTGAAGTCTTGGGAGAGAATCCTAATTCACTTTTAAGTAGCAGAACAAAAGTAACCGAAAATATTGACATGGGACAGACAAAGTGTCTTGGAGCAGGAGCTTTGTTCCCAGGCTTGCTCCATGTTCACTCCATGGCTGACCTTCAAATCAGGTTGTACTGAAATAAAGGACTTGTTAAAAATTAAAATTATACCATCAAGGTGATAGCTTTCTCCTTCTACAGGAGTTTATTACCATGAGTTTCAGAGAGTTGAACAGAAGGGCAGTAAACTTTAGGTACTATGGGAATTTACAATAAAGGTGGTGCCAGCAATTTTCTTAAGAAGTCATAAGTAGAAAAACCTCACATTTTAAGACCCTAAATTCATTCCTGAAATGAATTAGCTCTTCCACTTTCATACTTTTTCTTCTCTATCTTGTTTTAGGGCACTCAGGTCTAGAAGGAATCTTAAAATAAAAACACTGATTTTTTAAAATGACACTTTCTTTCCCTATCAGGGTAACTTTTTTTTAAAATTTGGAACCTTTAAGTTAAATATATAATACAAATTCAGCATGCCAGTCCTTGTTAGAGGTACCTTCAGCTGATATGCTATGGAATGGTGTTATCTCTTTTAATGGTAAAAGTCATTACTTAAGATCATTCTGTCTTCCTTCCCTTCTCTTAAACTCTTATAACATAAAAGGCTCTCTATGCCCCAAATACCATCTGCAGAAACACATTATAAAGCCATAGCTCTCTCTCCACCATCTATCTCCCTCTCCCCTTCTCTCCCTCTTTCACACTCTCCCTCCCTCCCCGGTTTACACACACATAAACACACACACACACACATCAAATACCAGAAACACATGGGCTGAGAAAGCTGAGCTCCTCTGAAAAACTTATGGGCAAAAATGGCTCCTCTCTATCATCACGACAAATCCCCATCCACACCACCTCTCCCCTCTGACTGTTCTGACCCAAATCCTACAACACACACGTCACTCTGATGAGTCTATCATCATGACTTTTAACCACTGCGGGCACCTCACAGCAAAACTCTTGGCATTGAGATAAATTATACTGTAGCACATTGATATCAACAAGAACCATGAATATAAACTGAAAAAGAAGGTTTGAAAAAGAAATTGACTATCAAGTCCTCTGAAAATAGTAGCTACAGACATATCATCATTTTAAAAAGTCAAGGAAATGTGACATAAGCAATCTATAACATTATCCAACATAGGTAGATGAAAATATGCCAGCAAAAAATAATAATGTTACCCACCCATTATTCCAAATTTCATTAAATACAACACAATAGCCAGATCTTTTTTTTTTTTTTTGGAATCAGAAATAAATTGGACTTCTCCTTCCAATGCCACTTCATGGTATGGAATGTTGACAAAAAATGTCCTCATGAACCCAGGTTCCTGACTTGTAACTGACAAACCCTCTCTCTTAAAATAGTACTGCAGATTTTTTTAAAGTAGTTTATCTTTATTTGCTGCATTCTAAAGGCAAACTGAAAGAAGATAACAAACTGGAAGTAATATGTCAAATAATACAGTCAAACTTCTGCTTAGGAAAAGGACCACTGCTAATAAGATAGTAAAGGACAACCTAACATTGCTTTGTTGAGAAAATTCCTTTCTGTCCATGGCAAGTTGTACTTACTTAACAGGCATTACAGAAGAGGAAAGGAGAGAAATCAGGGACAAAGCTACAATTCATGGTGATTAAATCTGTCTAAATCACAATAAAGTGGTAACATATAAAACGAAATACAAAACAACCAGAGCACTTCAACTAGTTTTAACATAGCACATATACCCAGAATGTTGGTTTCTCTAACACATCCCGCATGTTGCAAGATTAGCAATAAAAATCAATTTCCCCAGGAATTTCAATGAAGAAAAACCACTGAGCAATTATACCACAACTCTCAAAAATATCAAGGAAATGTGATCCAGAAAGAGAGAAATCCAAACATTAAAACCATCATTTGAGGAACGGCCTCTACAATGCATTCATTGAATTCAAAGAATCTGGAAAAAAATGTGATTTAACTTAATTTACCAACTTTCTTAAAAGCACACCCCAGCAAGTCTTTGCTTAAGATTCTTTACATTCTTCTGTCATATCTTCAGTCTCCCGTTCATCTGCACATTAAAAACAATAACCGAATTTGTCAGAAATCTGTAATTAAGAAAAATCAGTCAGCCTATAAAACATTAAATCCTTTACACATGAGACAATAATCACATTTTTATTTAATGTTTAATCACAGTCACCACAAGCTGCATACAAAACTGATAAGAAAAAGCAAAAGATAAGGTTCTTGCTTTCACTGAGCTTACAGCTGAGAGTTTTTTGGGTTTTGAGAAGTAAAATGGTTACAGATATGAAGACAGGCATCAAAATTATTTTTTTGCTTTGTACTTAGTTTCTGGGAAGCAGGGTGAAACCAAAAGTGTTATATTTAGGGTAGATAAGAACTGATTGCCTTTCATTTCTGCAAAGTGAGAAAAAAGTTGTGACATTAACAGAAATGGAATGGAAATACTCTTCTAACCTTAGTGAGAAGGTGGTCAGAAAAGGCAGAATTGACAACAGCACCAAATAAAAGAAGACAATAAAAGAGAATCAGGAGAAATGGGAACCCTCATATACTGGTGAAGGGAATGTAAAATGGCGCAGATGCTTTGGAAAAGTTGGCAGTTCCTCAAAAGGCTACCATAGACTGCACAACTCTACTCCTAGGTACATGCCCAACAGAAATGAAAATATACATCCAACCCAAAACCTGCATACCAAGATTCATAGCAGAAATATATATAATAGCCAAAAAGTAGAAACAACCCCAATGTCCATCAACTGATGAATGGATAAAGAAAATGTGGTAAATCCACACAAAAGGATATTATTCAACAAAAAAACGAGTAAAATACTGATACATGCTACAACACGGGTGAGCCTTGAAAACATTATGCTAAGTAAGAACCCAGGCACAAAAGGCCACATATTGTATGACTCCATTTACAAGAAGTGTCCAGACTACATAAATTCATAGAGACATAGAGTAGATTAGGGACTTCCTAGGGCTAGGGGGTTGGGGGAAAATTGGGAGTGACTGCAAGTGGGTACAGTGTTTTTCTCCCGGGTGCAGAAAATGTTGTAAAATGGATAGTGGTGATGGGTGCACAATTCTGTGAATACACTAAAAACCACTGAATTGTATGGTATTGTTGAACAGTGGCCCAAAAAGTTATGTACACACCTAATCCCTGGTCCACAGGAAAGTTACCTTACTTGGGAAAAGGGTCTTTGCAGATGTAATTAAGTCAAGGACCTTGAGATAAGAGCACCCTGGATTATCCAGGTGGGCCCTATATTCAGTATGTTCAAAAGTCCTTATAAGAGAAAAGCAGAGGGAGATTTGAGATGTGGCCACAGAGCAATGAAGCCAAAGAATGTCAACAGCCTGAGAAAGTGGAAGAAGCAAGGAAGTATCCTTCCCTAGAGCCTCCAGGCTCGCTGACACCTTGATTTCAGACTTCAGGCCTCCAGCAATACGAGATGATGCATTTCTGTTTTCATCACCTGCTATGGCAACCACAGGAAACTAACACAGGTATATAAGATATGTATCAATAAAGCTGTTATTTTAAAAATCAACCTAATAATTATGGGTAAATAATTTGGAGTTTCAGAGAGTACAGTGAGAAATGTAGTGATACTGTCAACACCTGGAGGAGAAATATTAAACAGGATGTAGAGGAAGGAGGGACGGATGAGAAACAGATCTCAAAATCCTACACATGAGATGAAGAACAGTATGACCACAGCCCCAAGCCTTCGCTAGTGCCCATCCTTCTATCCAGAGTGTTCTCCTTCTTGCTCGCCCAGTAACTGACCACTCATCCTTGGAGGCTCAATTCAAATGCCACCTCCCCACCTCTCCAGTGTTCATCCTTCCTTCTATAATGTTGCCATGTACTCTGTTGGAAGCTCTTCTACTATCCTTGTCCCACTCTGCTACGATTATCTGCTTAAGTGCTTGCCTTCATCAATAGACCAGGGAATAATTCAGAGGAGTGACTCTTTCCTACTCACCTTATATCCTAGAACAATGTCCTTAATGAACAGGTATGATGGAGCCCTGGAACAGTGGTTTGAATCATGGCTACATAACAGAATCACCCAGACCCCAACCTCAGAAACTGACTTTAAAAAATACTAATGCACAAATCCAATCTCTAGAAATTGACTGAATTCCTCTATAATGGAACCAAAGCACTAACCTGTTTTAAAATCTCATCAGATGATTCTAATGTGCAGCTAGAGGTAAAAATTATGGCCTGAGGGATGGGCTCAGTATAGCTTAACATGCCAGGAAGATTTGAGGCAGATGCCAAGGAGAGAGATCCAAAAGCACAGATGATCCCATAGTGGCTATGCGTTTCTCCAAATAAAATATACACCATGAAAGAATAGAGAACTCAAGATAGGACATGCTTGCTTTCGGTGGCTAAGAGGAAGGCTACCCACAAGAAGGACAATAGAGATGGCTGGAGAGATAAGAAGACATCTGAAGAAGGTAGTATCTTCATTAACATGAGACTTAAGAAGATAAAGCAGGGTTTGAGCTGATGGGAAAGACACTTTCTGATATTATTTTCACCACCACCGCATATGCCAGCATTTTTTTTACAATCCTAAAATAGAGTGACTAGTAAACCATCTAGTCCAGATCTCCTCACACTTGAATGTGCATACAAATCACCTGCTGGGGGCCTGATGTTAAAATGAAGGCTCTGATACAGTAGGGCTGGTGTAGGGCTTGGGACTCGCATTTCTAACAAGCTCCCAGGTAGTGCCAATACTGCTGGCTCATAGATCTAGTCTATGGTCAGGCTTTTCAGTGACTTCTTCATTTTTTCATTTTACCCAATTTCAACGAAAAAGGAGAATCAGAAGTTCCCAATAACTGACAAAGTGATAAGTACGTTATAATTAAATATCAAAACTCTCCAACATGCTATTGTTCACTTTATACCACTAAACAAAATGATAGAGAAAGTAATATTTTATAGTACAGAAAAAATCATGAGTAAATATTTTACATGAAAAGTCTACCCCAAGAAGAAGTGAATTAAAGAAAATTAATTGAAATTAACTTGAAAAGATAAATTCATCAAATATAAACTTACTATATACTAAGGTTTTATATAAAACTGGAATTAATACTAGGAATTTCTAATATGGCAGCTCTGATATTTTGATCAAAGAAACTTTGGAGGAAGGTTGATTAAGTTACTAAGAACATCTAAGAAGCAATTACCCTTGGAAAAATAATTTAACAAATAGTAATTAGGAGCCCTAAAGGCACACACTGTTTGAGAGAAAGAGAACTCCATAAAAACGATGATGAGTTCAACATTTCCCTAAGAGCAGGCCAAAATATTATTTTAATGGAAAAAAATCGGCTAATAGTGTTATTTTTAGAATCTCATTGCTCCACTACAAACCAGTAAGACTACAGCTCAACAATGAAAACCTCAAAACCATCTAGTTCTCTTGAAACTGTTCAGGTGGTATGAGTAATGACATATACTAACACACACCTCCTTCAAACCACTGTAACATCTGTCCAAAAGTCAATCCACCTGTAATCAGCAAGTTACAACCAGATCTTCTGATGGACAGAATTTCAACATGAACTATATTGTGATTGGAAAATTGACATTATAGCACTTGTCCACCTGAGGACACCAATAAGATAACATAATTAGCTTCCTTACATCCAGACTGAACCCCATATTTCTCAAATATGCACAGCAAAATCTTGTGGCTTGCATTAATTTGACGGACTGAACGCACCATCCCTGGGACTCTGATTTCAGTCTGGCTGGGGCCTTGGACATAGTTATACAAGCAAAAAACTCCCCAGTTGATCCCTATGTTCACCCTGGTTAGGAAAAATGCTCTGGTGGCTTATAACAGTGCTTCTTAAACTTCAGTGTTAAATATCATGGGGGAATCTTATTAAAGTGCAAATTCTGATTCAGTAGGTTTGGGGTGGGGCCTTAGACCCTGCACTTCTATTGAGCCCCCAGTGTTTGCACAACACTCTAAGCAGCAAAGGCTTATAACATGTGATGGAAATCATGTGGTCCCAAAGGGCCAAGCACATGAGGTAGAAAGGGCCAGAAGGGAGCCACATTTTCCAGGACAGTATATGCTCTTTCTAAAGGGAACATCTGCTATTCAGCAATCCTCCCCAGTGGAAGGACCTGCTGATTTGTTAGAAAAGTCAGAAATTCAGGCTTTTATGGGAAATCTCCTGATGAAATGTTAAATACTATATAAGCCAACCAGGTCCAGTCACTGCCCTTATGCAGATTTTCTCATTTGATTCTTACTTCATTGCAACACTACAAGG